GATGTTGAGACTCTAGAAAAAGTACAGAGAAGAGCAACCAGGATGATCAGGGGACTGCAGACTAAAACATATGAAGAACAGTTACAGGAACTGGGCATGGCTAGTCTAGTGAAGAGAAGGACCAGGGGAGACATGATAGCTGTCTTCCAATATTTGAGGGGTTGCCACAGAGAGGAAGAGGTTAATCTATTTTCTAAAGCGCCTGTAAGCCAGACAAGGAATAATGGATGGAATCTGAACAAGGAGAGATTCAACCTGGAAATAAGGAGAAATTTTCTGACAGTGAGGCGACGATATGGCATGTGATCTTGGAGGTCTGAGATCGCTGCCAATATCTTTGCTTCTGGATGGTCCAATTGGATCTAAACCGTCCCGAAGAGATGGTGAAAGTAAAGAGCGCATCCTGTCGATCCCAGGGATACCGCAAAGTCCCTGGTAGATCCAGGAGAAGCTCTTTTTGCCAGCGGCAAAGAGGCAGCCATTAAAGCTGCTGAAGTTGGGACAGCTCCGAAACGAAAGAGAACGGAAAGAGAGAGTGTGCCGGTTGGGTGAGAATTTTTTCTTTATTCTAAGATTTGAAAGGACACCCTAAGGAAAAGAAAGAATCTGTAAAAGTTTTGACAGAAGTGACTAAGCAGTGATTTTAAACAGGAATGTCAAAGTAATTTTTTTCCTCTCATTGCTGGATTTTCTACACACGATCTTATATTTTGAATCTGGACTAGTTTTTTCTCTTCTTTTTTCTCTTCTTTTTCTCCCTTTTGATTTTATAATATTCGAGGCTAGAGATTCCCTTTTAGCTATTTTTAAAAAAATATCTTTTTCTTTTTAAAATTAATTATTATATTTTGCTTGGAAAAGGAGGGGGAAAGTGAAAGCAAAAGAAACTTTGTAACACTGCCAACTAGAGGCTTGGAAATATTCTATTTCTTTTTCTTGACCAGACAAAGCTGAGAAAGAACTGAGACTTCTTTTCAAGGACTTTGAGCCTGTTTGATAAGATAGAGGGAAGAGCATGGGAGAGTATTATTGCAGGTGCTCTTCTGGGTTTCTATCAACAGCTGGAGTCTGGTGTTGAAGCTTATAGGAAAAGAAAAGGTGATTTTCTTTAAGGTATTAATGATTTTTTTCCTTTTCTTTTTAAGGGAGTAGTCCCCCCCTCCCCCGGTATTTTTGTCTTTACAACTGTCATTAATAGGGAGAATATCAACAATCTAGATGAATATTATTACCCAGAATTTTATATTTGTCCCAAACAATTCCAATTAGGCTTGGAAAAGAATACTTTGAAGATTTAAATAAAATTGTGTTGAAATATATATGGCAAGGTAAGAAAGCGAGAATAAAGTTAAAACTTTTGCAAGATGCTAGAATAAAAGGAGGATTTGGTTTGCCTAATTGGGAGTTGTATTACCAAGCTACAAATTTGATGTGGGTTAAGGAATGGATAACATTAAGATATACTAGATTGTTGACATTAGGACATGATCTGTTGTTGGGGTGGCATACTTTTCTATGGTATAAAGGAACTAAAACACAGGGGTACTTTAGAAGACATTATATATGGGAGTCTCTGTGGTTAAACTGGGAGAAGATTAAAAGACAATGTTATTTGAAAATTCCAGTCTGGCTATCGACTATTGAAGCATTTTCTTATCCTATAATATAAAAAAAGGAACAAACAGTTAGATATGGTGAAATATTGAATGAAAAGGGTGAACTTAAATCTATGCAAAAACTAGAGGAACAAGGAATAAAGATGAATTGGTTGTCATATGCGCAAATACATTCAAGGTATGATAAAGATTCTAAAACAGGTTTCTATGATAAACTGACTGACTTAGATAAGATTTTGACAGGTACTGATGAAAAGGTGATTAAAAAATTGTATGGATATCTATTAGAAATTAAACTAGAAGAAGAACAAGTTAAAGAAACTATGATTGCTTGGGGGAAGAATTTTGGATATGGGATTGATTTAGAGAAATGGCAAAAATTGTGGTCTCAAAATTATAAAATGACAATGTCAACAGCATATAAAGAAAATTTGTATAAGATGTTTTACAGGTGGCACTTTCCCCTGACAATAGCAAGAATGTTCAAGAATAAATCCAAAAAATGTTGGAAATATCATCAGACACCTGGCTCATATTACCATATGTGGTGGACATGTGTGGATGCTAAAAAATATTGGACTAAAATCCACATGTGGTTGGAAAAAATGACAAAAAAGCATATAGATTTGAAACCAGAGATATTTTTATTGGGAATTTTACCTGAAATATATAGTAAAGACTTGAAATACCTGATTGTAAATGTATTAACAGCGGCTTGGATTGTATTTGCTAAAAACTGGAAAAATGAGAAAACACCATCACAGGAGGAAATCATTAAGAAAATATTGGAATGTGCTGAAATGAGCAGATTGACATTTGAAATTAGAGAACAAGATGATAAACTATTTTATAAAATTTGGGATCTATTCTATCAATGGTTAGACAATAAAATATAGTAATGAAATATGTAGATTTTTAGAAAATAATATATAAAGATGTATTCTTTTCTTATTATATCTACAAAATGATTTTAGGATAGATTTGGGATGATAATATGAACCGTCATAAAACAAATTAAGTAAAATATGATTATTTCGTAAAACATGAATAAAAGTATAGTCAAATGATTAATAATGATATTAATGTATTTAATATTTGATTGAAAATATGAGAGTATATACAATGTAATTGTAATTGAAGACAACGAAATGGAAGCACAAAACAATTTGTAAAGCAACCGGCACACTGTATGTATATATATGGAAGATGGCTTGATGTTTTTATGGTTTGTTTATGTTTGTTTTAAAAACCAATAAAAAAATAATAAAAGAGATTGGACTGCCATTTGTCAGAAATGGTGTACGGTCTCCCGCTTGGGCAGGGGGTTGAACTAGATGACCTACAAGGTCCCTTCCAACTCTGATTATCTATTATTTAACTAAGATTCATCTCCTGCGCCAATTGTGCCCTTTCCTGGACCAGGATGCATTGCAGAGGGTCACTCATGCCTTGGGTCACCTCCTGTTTGGATCACTGCACTGGACCACTAGAAACGTCAACTGGTCCAGAATGCAGCAGCGCACAGAGTAATGGAAGCCCCTAGGTTGCCCATGTGACATCTTTGGGGTGCAAGCTACACAGGATTCATTTCTTTAGGGTGCAATTCAAAGTCATCACAGTTAACAGTATCTAGTACAGCAAGAGCAATCAGACACATATACCACCTATATACCACCCCACTGTTTTGTACCACTCTCAGTTTACATTATAAGCATGTTATCCCCACCAATCTGTGTCCTCGTTTTACCAATCTCAGAATAACAGAAGGCTGAGTCAACCCAATCCAGGACCAGATTTCATCAGCCAGCAATACTGCGTTCTAACTACTGAGCCAACAGGGCACCTGTCATTATTTTCTCATCTTTATTTTTGCATCTATCTGTTATTCCACTTATATCTACCCAGATAGGGAACGGTCCTGTCCCCTTGCCTTAAATATTGCCATCTCATGGGAGCTAGGAAACGTGCCTTGTCTGTTGCAGCTCCTGTCCATGAGACATTTGGTCTTCCATGAAGCAAAGAAGAATTAGATTTTCCCCTAAGCACTGGGTAAGAGGACTGTACACCAGAAGGCGAATTGTAACCAGGTTTCTATTTTTAATGCATTTGATTTTAAGACAGTTTTAAAGTTAATTATTGATTAGGAGCCAGCCAGAGTTTGTTATAACATGGGTGGCTACATAAATATTTTAAATAAATAAGAGGAAGAAGAAACGAATGCATGGATCCACTGAGGCTACCCATCTGCAAGTTGCTTAAGGCAAATGAAGGCCTATAAATTTATTTATGAAATTTACAGGCTGCTAATCCCAAGGAGGTTAACTTCCCCGATATAACTCCTTGCAAGGAGAAAGAGTACCTGTTTTGAGGAAGAAATAAACATAATTAGTAAGACCTGGAGGCTTGACCAATTTCTAAATTGAACAAAAGCAAGAATCGTGTTTTGGGGATCATCCAAGTGCCATCAATTTTGCCAGACAGCCCTGTATTTGGAGGGCAAGAACATGTTAAATGTGGAGCCTTTGCACTTTGCCATTTGCTATATCTGTGGGGTTGGTTAGTTTCTGTATTAAGGTTCTATTAGTGTAAACCGTGTGGAGTCACAATGAGTTGGGCTGCCATATACATGCTAAGTAAAAATATATGCGGACATGTTTATATCCTCCTTTATTATACTGTATGTAGAAGTAACTCAAACATACATAATAAGAAATCCAAACTCACTTTCTTTAGCCCAGCAATGGCAGTTTCCCTCGAGTCCATGAAAGGGAACGACAGCACTGGGCCAAATTAAGGAAGCTCAGATCTCCTTCCTCATATTTAATAAGTCAAGCTTCACTAAACAGAATCACACAAGAAATTAAATTATTAATTTCTCAGACAGTCTTTCACTGAGACAAGGAAAAAAATTCAAGATTCCTCTAAACAGATCAAATTTATCCACATGTGGGATTTCTTCTGTGATAAGGGAGGAATTTTGTGCTGTCCACAATCTGGGGATTTGAATGGTTACTCTCCTATGTGTAACCTTACATGATTTAGAAGGCTAGACCTACAACTGAAATCTTTACCACAATCCGGACACTCATATGGTTTTTCTCCTGTGTGAGTCCTCTTGTGTATCACCAGGCTGGAGCTGTGACTAAATCTTTTCCTGCAATCCTGACACTCAAATGGTTTTTCTCCTGTGTGAGTCCTCTCATGTTTCATTAACTCAGAATTTCGATGGAAACCTTTCCCGCAATCAGGACACTTGTATGGTTTCTCTCCTGTGTGAATTCTCTGGTGCACCAAAAGTTCGGAATTCCAATTGAAACTTTTCTCACAGTCTGGACACTTATGCGGTTTCTCTCCCGTGTGATTTCTCTGATGTATCACCAGGTAATAATTCTCACTGAAACTTTTCCCACACTCCAGACACTCATATGGTTTTTCTCCGGTGTGAGTCCTCTGGTGTACCACCAGCTTGTAATTTTGGTTGAACCTCTTCCCACAATCCTGACACTCATATGGTTTCTCTCCTGTGTGAGTCCTCTGGTGTATCACCAGCTTGGAATTACGCTTGAAACCCTTCCCACATTCTGGACACTGATATGGTTTCTCTCCTGTGTGAGTCCTCTGGTGTTCTATAAGGTTGGAATTCCGACTGAAACTTTTTCCACAATCTGGGCACTCATATGGTTTTTCTCCTGTGTGAGTCCTCTGGTGTACTACCAGGTCGGAATTGCAACTAAAACCTTTCCCACAATCTGAACAATACAGTTTCTCTCCTGTGTGCTTGGTCTGGTGTTTCACGAGGTGGGATTTGTGATTGAAACTTTTCCCACAATCCAGACACTCATATGGTTTTTCTCCTGTATGAATCCTCTGATGTACCACAAGGTTCCAATTCAGACTGAAACATTTCCCACAATATAGACATTCATATGGTTTCTCTCCCGTGTGAGTCCTTTGGTGTTTCACCAGCATCGAATTCTGACTGAATTTTTTCCCACAATCCAGACATTCATATTGTTTCTTTCTTGTGTGAGTTCTCCTGTGTATCCCCACTGTAGAATTCTGACTGAACATTTTCTCACAATCCAGACGTTCGTATGGTTTCTGTCTGGAATATAACCAGGTCAGAATTCCCAGTAAAACTATTCACACAATCAGGACATTCAAGGAGTTTCTGTGCAGTGTGAGTCCTCTTTGTGTATCACCAGACCTGTGTGTGTGCTAAATCTTTTGCCACATTGGAAACATTGGTAGAGCTGCTCCTCCTGCATTGGCCGTTCCATGAATCATGGGAGTCCTGTTCTGAGTAACGCTTTTGCCACAATCCAAACATTTGTATGGATTTTCAAGGAGTGGATCCTTTTGTGCATAATCAGCTGTGATCTGCAATCTGTGATTTTCCTACAACAGGCAGTCTGTGGGGTTTTTCCAACACTGATTTTCTTGGATTCATGAGGGGGGCAAAAATATTTCTGATCCCTTATGTAGTGGGTGCTTTGATTCAAAACACTCTTTCCTTCCTCAATGGATTTCATTAATGCCTTAGGCTCTCCAATTGATCTTTCCTATTTCCCACTTTTCCTGCATTTGGTAATTCTATCTTTTTACCTTTTTGTGCAATATTTTCTTGAGTTCCACATAATGTATTTTTTCTACCTGAAAACTCTGTTCTTGTTATTCTCTCCCTTGTCTCTCTCCATCTGCTGAGGAAAGACAACAGTTTTAAAACTTTCTGGAAGAAGTGGAAAAGATTTTGATTGATGGCTCGTTTTGCATTTTACTGCTGCTTCTCATTCTCTGTTTTCCAGACTGCTTTACTTAGCATCCACTTTGTCTGTAAGATTGATATTAATGATTACTTTCATTATTGTTTTTAAAATGGCTGCAGAACCTGGGAAAACAGCAAAAAAGCACATATATTACTATGAAAAAGCAAACATATCAAAATGCTACTTTAATCTTTAACATTCATTATGAATTATTAGGCACATAGAAGAGTAGCAAAATTTCAAATCATGAAATTATCTTGTTGGCTTGGGTAGATCACAGATTATTACACTTGCAAACTCTTTTTATGAAAAATACCTGAAAATACTAAGTTTTATACGGATACATGTATATGCACACATACAAACTTATAAATATATATATATAGAATTTTTTTTTATTTCAGCCTTCAAAATGTTTCAGAAGTGGATTCACTCAATTTGTTTGATCTAATTTTAGAAAGGTGGGGATACTAACAGACTAAATGGTGACCAAATCCTAGGCAAGATTTAAAGCATCCGTTTTACCCATGAAATCCCTCACTTGCCAGGAAAGCAACATCTCAATAACATCACAAGGAATGAAGTGTTATGCGAAGACCGAGGGAGATAGAAATATGAAAGGAAAAAAAAAACTTTTTCAAAGTCCCAAATTTCCCAGAGAAAATCACAGGGAGAAATTTTAAATCCTGCAGCCCCAGAGGAATAAAATTCGGGGAGGGGATGAATATGCAGCAGCAGCCAATACGTTTCAGCCTCGCTGCTCCTTCTCCCGCTTCCCCGCCGTGGAGGAACTCAAAGGGCCCGACTTGCTCCCGGCTTCTCCTCCGACCTGCCCTCCACTCACCTCCCAGGAGCCGCTTCGGTCCTCCAAACAGCACAAGAGGCTCCGCCGACACCATCCTCCTCCCGGGGGTCATCCGGAAATGGAAGTACTTCTGCCCTTTGCCTCTCTAGCAATCCAATCCTCTATCGTTTTTACCTCTTCCATCTTCGCCTCTTTCCCCTCCAGAAGACAAGTAACTACTGTGTTCACTGCTTTCTAGGCACGAGTATCGCTCTTTTGTAGGGCGCCATCTAGTGTCACAAGGTTGAAAATTACGCTCGTCCTATCTACCCTAAAGCGTGTGCAAGACGTTATATTTTATTTATTTATTTATTTTGTCAAGCATGTATTAGATAACATGTATAAGTATAAGCATGATTATGATGTGAGGAGTGTATCTATTTTGTGACTCAAAACTCAAGATGAAAAAG